CACCTCATAAGGCAGACGGCTGGAGAAGGCCTAACTACGTATTGAATCCTTTTAGGGATCATTTGTCTTCAAGGCTGGATTTGTGAAAAGCGAAGGCTTCCAGGGTGGTGGACATGGTCTGGGAGAAGGCTGACGTGGAGAAAGTTCAGAGCTACCACATGCTTTGTGCAGAGGAAAAATAGCCACAGAGCCTTCCCCTAGCCCTGGAATACAGAAAGCTCTTCCCGGTCCATGTAGCTTTGGCAAGGGACTTCTTTCCACTTCAGAGAAAAAAGGGACAATGTCCAGGGCTGTGCATTTCTTACTGGATGTCACTCACTGTGATCACAACCTCATCCGAGTGAAACACGCCTTACCTGTTTATTGTCTGGGTCCCCAGTTGCTTTGTTAGAATTTTGCTCAGAGCCTCCAGAAATGAAAACCAACCAGGTAGAGAAGTAGACCTTTTGTGCTAAGCCTTCCTAGGAGAGGCAATTTAATAAGGTTTCTAACCCAAAAAATTTTAAAGATTTTAAAATTTAGCCTCATTACATACCTAGGACTTATCTGATGTATTTTCTTCTTTTTAAAAAATGATTTTTACCCTTCTTTAAACTATATGGTAGTTACATTTTTAAAGACCTGTAAGGCCTTTATCGTTTGGGTAAGAGCTCAAGGTTGATCCAACCCCCCGGGACAGAGGTGAGGCTTTCCAAAGAGCACTGGTTCTCACCCATGTGCTAAGGCTTGTTTTCTTTTTTTTTTTTTAACAAACAAATTGCTATTACAGACTTGTAGAATATAAAATTAAAATACTTTCTTAAGAAAACTTCCCGTGAATTTTTTTGCATCCACCATATTAAAAACAGATTATCCTTTCTCACTAGAGATGGAATTAAAAGAAGAAATGAAATTAGTGTGGCCCATATTTCATCCAGAAACGAGGGTTTATTTCCATGGTGCCCTTTCTCGGCATTAGAGTAAACTGTCAGAAGCAGGGCCACCCTCACCATATGGCTAAATAACTAACTGCAGATCCTGCCCCACTCAGCCTGGAGTGCTTATTGCATATTTTAGATTTTAGGTGGAGCTTAAGGCATGAGAAAGGTGGCCTGCCACTTTTATACAGTCAAAAATAATTTTGCACACTCAAGAAATTTTCCTTGAGAAATGCCACGTTTGGAACAGCTTTCAGAGGTTGAGAACCAAACGCATTAAAGCTCCTGAATTACACTTACAGGAACAGTGCAAGGGGAACATTTTCAAAAGCTCAAAGTAATGCTGGTCTCCCACTGAGTTAAAGAGCAAATAAGTAAGCATTTTGGTGTATACAGGTGTGTGTGCAGTGCTCTCAAAAGTCACATCCCGCCGCAATTCACAGCTGAGTGAGCATTCTTGGCCCCTGACCTATAAAAAAACCCTAATTCTGCAACTTGCTTACAGACTATTAGGAAGCTATTCGAAAACAAAAAGCCTATATACTGGTTAGAAATTTGCAATCCAGAAATGCAATACCTTTGCTCTTTTTGAAAGGACAACCGAAATTTGTGTTGGGTTTTTGGAATGGTGACCGAGAAGAACTGTTACCCATTTTCATAACCAGGAAATAATTATTCGTAATATCGAAGAAGTCAGAGCCTCAGTAGACAGGCATGCAGCCTCTCACAAGGGAATACAGCAGTTTTCAGCTTCACAACCGAACGCTTCATTTCCGATATGTCTAGGCTCTTTTACTTTTTGTCAGGCAGTTTATGTCAGTGAATATTGGCTTTCCTTCAAGGGAATGATTCAGAGCATGCTTTACAATTGGCCGGTGTTATCCCCTAATTCCTTTTTGACCTATGCCCTAATTTTATGGAAGCAAATTAGGGACATTAAGCCAGGGGATAAATGCACTACTCAAAATACACTCAGGCAGCCGTGCTCAGGTGAAAAGCTACAGAATGAGCCAAATAGAATTTCTTGCCAACCTATTTAAACACTAAGACCCTGGGAATTCGCATGCTTTTTCTAGGGACAAAATTTACAACTCAGACAAAATTGAGCATTGTTGAACTTGCTGTCTGTTCTGCTGTTTGAATCCAGTTATCTTTGTTCTTCCTTTCCCAAACCCTCTATTTTTTTTCTTTTACATCTGATACTTTATTTTTTAAAGTGGTTTCCTGCAGATTTATTTTCTCTCAAATAGGCTCTATAAGTTACAACACAAGAATTTCTCCTTTTCTTTTTTGTTTTGGTTTTTTTTTTCTGGTACTGGGAATTGAACTCACGACCTTGCGCTTGCTAGGCAGGCGCTGTGGCACTGAGCCAAATCCCCAGCCCCACAACACAAAAATTTTAAAAGAGGATAAAAAGCTAGCACATTAGTCTTAGTTTTAATTTTGGAGATTTAAGCATTTAAACTCGGATGTGTGGTTTTTTATTACATTATCTGTGGAATTCACTTAATGACATCACAACTGAGGTGCTTTAAATAAACTATATTTCATAATGATGTAAGTACTAACCTCTCCATCATTATTGTTATTAGTGTTTTTATTAATAGGTAATGATAAGTGTTTCTAGTTCTGCATATATTCCCACCATCCCTTTACCTGACTTGTAGTACTTTAAAATTTCAAGTTATTTTTAACCATAGACCCAGGAGCAGTCAGGAATAGAAAAGAAACGGCAGATAAATTAGCATGTTGATTGAAATAAGATTCTGTGCACTGCTCTTATGTTAACAGGTAGGAGAAAAGACCCAATCTTCTCTGCTCCACCACAAAACAAAAAAGTAGCGGCTGCAACAGTACGGACAGATAGACCCTTGCCCAAAGGTCTTGCACACAGTAGGTGCTCCTTGGTCACCACAGGGATGACACAAGTGGATGGATGAATGCTGACTCAAAAAACTGACCGGGAAGTCAGCAGTGTTAAACCTGAACAGATGAACAGATGATAAAAACCATTTCAGTGGCTGATAACATGTTTAATACGATTTTATAATCTCATTTCAAAGATAGCCATCTCGCTGGGCATGCTAGCACATACCTATACCAGCACTCTCGAGTTTGAGGCAGGAGGTACACCATGAATTTGAGGCCAGCCTGGGCTACACAGCGAATTCAAGGCCAGCATGAACTACAGAGTGAGACCTTGTTTCAACAACAAAAAAAAGACAGCCATCTCTATGCTCTATTTAAAAATTATAGTCAATTAAAGGAAGATGTATACCCATACATCATACACATATATAATGTATCCAATTAGTGTCTGGGGCTTGGCCAGGTATTATAGTTGCATGCACTCACAGATGCTCATAATTGAGCAGACAATTGTCTCCACGTTATAATGACAATCGGAAAACTTAAATCTGTCGCCTTTGACCAATGTTAACTCCTACCATACCTGTCTCCCAATACAGCTTTGTGCAGATTAAAGTTTTGAGATGTGAAGATAAAAATTCCTTGTTATTGCTGTTAGCCTTCCAATTCAGCACCACATCAGGAAAAAAAATGATAATCACCTCCATTTCTCAAATTTTACGTCCTTAGAAATGGCTCCCATAACGTAGCATGACGGATAAGGCTAAACGGTTTTCTGACTGTTAAGAACTTGCAGACAGGCTTTATGAATGGAAACACGGGAAGGCCACTCTAGCCAGCTTTCTAGCTCCATACTCTCTCTCCTAGCTATTTATAGAAAGTATGTGGCCGGTGGAAAAGATCTCATTTATTTTTATAAGCCAGTAATGACATGACCAAGGAGCTCTACTTCCTCTCTTTGGGAAGGTCACCCTCTTCAACTGAGCTGCAAAGAAGGCAGGGAAGCAAGAAACCCCTTTAACCAACTACCTTAGCCTGAGTCAGCCCCAGGGCTCAACCCACAGGGCGCCAGGCACTGCAGTCAACACCCTCATTTCCTAGGCACAGCTCCACGGTGCTGCTCCTTGGGATGTCATCTAGATCATGACTAACCGGTAAAAATAAAATGTATTACATAATATGCTTCAAAAATCTACCGCCAAAATAGATTGTTTGAGGATAATGAAGTGAATTCTTATTTACCAGTTGTCTTATATGTCAAATAGTTCAACATAATAAAGGCAAACCAAATTTTAACGGATAGGACAAAGTGGAGAGTGTGAAAAAACATTTTCCAAGATACTTTACTCTGATTGAGGAATATTCCTGAAATGTTTAAGAAGTCTGGCTGGTTCTACGCAAATGTGCACATAGCAAATGACTGCTTCTAAAATGGCATTATCTATCTTGACAGAACACTGATATAGTTTAGCAAATAGCTTGTCTAGTTAAACAACTCATCCCTGATTGTAGTAGATGTGACAACTGTTTATAAACATGAAATAAAGCCAAACCACTGTTTTCAACTAGAATGCCTTCTTGTCCATGTTATATGTGGTTTATAATATCTAAGGGAAAGGAAAAGTGGAGGAAGGAAAAGGTAAAGGGAACAAGATAGTGAGTCCTTGTTCTCCTTGGAACACACTGGGTGGTTAAACCTTCCCAGGGAAAAGTGTGTCATCTCACTGGCTCAGGCATCATAATCACCTGAAAATGATATGGGTATAATTTTATCCATGAGTGGCCTCTGCTTAAGGACAAAGACACAGGGCAAGAAGAGAATTCTGTTTGTGGACCTAGAAGATCTCCAACTAATACTTAAAATGACAAATGCTGGGATTTAGCTCTTAGTCTCAAACTCATCGATCCTTTTTGGAAGTCCCCTTCTATAAAGTTCCTTCTAAAAAGGAGGTTCCATTTGATAAGAAAACTGCAAAATACTCTTCAACCTGTTTCCCTTGCTTCCAAACCAACATTCTTTAGGGATCTAGAAGAGACAATGACAAGCAAGTAAGTCTGCATGTGGAAATATCCTGATTTCCACAGCTATCCTTAAACACATGTACTGAGTCAAGTTACAGCTGAGAAGTAACATCTGTGGTGAGCACAAATTAACAGCCTCTGCACCCTAACAGGAATTCGTGTACTTAGCAAAGGATGAGACACTGACACTCATTAGGAACTGTACAAAGTATATTTATGATCCCATTCCATGGTCCTAAATTAAATACAGACATACATAAATTTAGCTTCTGTGTGCAAATTAGCACACACAATGATACTGCTTCCTCCAGGGAATTGTGCTGAGCTTCTCTGTTTACAAATACAGTAGTGATTAAAACAATAAGGAAAAAAATGTGAGCCATCTCTTCACTAGTGTTGAGCTAAGTGTTCACCCACTTTATGTGCTTGATCAAAATCATACCCTCAAATCAAGACTTCCCATTTATGGACTTTTTTTGACTCTCAACCAAACGACTCACGAAGTGTGATATTTAAATTAGCTACCTCAGAGGTATGTGTTCTTCAGGAGTTTCCACCTCAATTATAGGCTAGCATTTATAAGATATGTCCAAGTACTACTGGCCAATGTGGGGATCAGAAAGCATCTTGGGAAGTGGGCAAGTTGGCGACTACCTTTAATACCAGCATTTGGGAGGCTGAGGCAGGAAGATTACAAATTCAGGCCCAAGTGGGGCTACATAGGGAGTTCCAGGCCAACCTGGACTATATAGCCAGACCCTGACCATAAAAAAATAAAGCATCGTGGGGTGTCTTTGCTAATCTTTTAAGGACTCAGTGTGATTGCCAAACATTTCCATAATCTTGACCCAAGTAAGAGTTCTGTGTTTAACTGGGCATGCATAATGTTATTTAATTCATAAATTTCAGTTATAACCCAAGCTAATACGCTTCTGGTTTTCATAATATTAACTGCCTCATTTACTCCTGAATACTACATTTTAAGTTTTAAGCACAGAGGGACGGCACCAGTGTTCTTTCACCTTCCCCGTGGCTGTATCAGGAGCCACAGCCATATTGCTGGGTTGGCTCTTTGTCCTGGTAGAGAAGCCAAATGCCATGCACGTCCCTGCAAGCTACTTCTGGTCCTAACAAAAACTTAAAACCAGCCCCACCTTCATTATGATACGAAGGAGAAGAAGAAAAGCTTATTCCTGATGCTCTCCCATGCAAGAAACTGTCTGAGGTCAGTCATTTGGGCATTGCTTCAAAAGGCACATTTATTCCAGTGGCAATTTTAGTAGAGTAGGAAAGAATAAGATTAAAGACAAAACAAACAAAAAATCAGATGAGTTCTGTGGAATACATGAAAGTAAGGAGGAATCTGGGATCTATACAAACCACGTGAGCTCTTCACCAATAGACTAACCAGAATCCCTAAGGTAAAGGTCATTCACAGTTTATCATGAGACTCACAGGCCTTCAGAAAACACTGTTTTTAAAAAGTAGACAACTTTTAAGCAGCTTGCCCTGATGTCCGGTTCAAGTGTGTGCAATGCAGAAGGCTGCACAATTCAAAACTATGTGACAAAGAAAATTCAGTGCATATCACAGGCTTTTATAAATTATGAAAAAATCATCATATATATTACTATTTAAATAACATGTAAGAAACATTTTGGAATAATTAACTTTGTGTTCACATTCCATGCATTTTCTAGCGGGTTAAGCCCTGGGTTTGTGTCTTTGCACCCGTTTCCTACAAAGCTCCATTCTTCTGACAAATCCAAGCATTCCTGACTGAAATGGAAGTACCCAGGGATTTCTGAGTATTTATCTTCCTTACTGCATACCTGACCTCACAAGGGCGACTTCTTATTACCGCTGATACACAAAACAAGTAGAAAAATCAAACTGGGGGTGTTGTTTGGGATTTGATGCCTGGGAAAAATCCCTGGATGTCAGAGACATTACCTGATTTTTTGCAGGGAGCAAGAACCAGCGGTCCTCTGGCGGCTGATTCCCCCCTCCCTCCTCTAAAGCTCCACGTGGACTGAGACTCCCTAGTAGCAGTGGACCTTTCCCTTGTGGTTTTGCAGCACCCTCCTCGAGCAAAGAAGGAAACACAACAAAACTTGAAAACAAACCAACTAGAGCAACAACAGAAACTCCAAACAAACGGATGGGCAAACCAGGAGCCTCTCCCATGGTGGAGGCTCACTTTTTACTGCAGAAGTCGGTGTTCTTGAGGAACTTCCGGATGACCAACCCCAGGCAAACGACCAGCAGCAGCATGTAGCCCACGGTGCCCGAGAAGGTGGGCGCTGCCGGCGGCGCCTGCAGGAACTGGCGCAGCCCCTCCTCCACGTAGTACACCTGGTCATAGATGCTGAGGAAGGTGAAGATGTGGAACAGCTGGTGACTGTGACCAATGATGTCGAAGAGGCCTGGTTGGATGCGCTCGGGGATCTTGCTCACGTTGAAGAAGGCAGCCACCACCAGCCAGAAGTAGCGGCGATAGAAGTGCACAAAGAGCGTGGGGTTCTCGCCCCGGAGGTCGAAGAGCCAGCTCTCCAGCATGATCGGGCAGGCCATGCTGAGCGGCATGATGAAGACAAAGGTGCGCAAGGCGAACGGATAGGCGCACCAGTCGGTGCGGCTCTTGCAGCAGGCCACCGTGCAGGCCACGGCCAGCACGAAGGCCACCGGCAGCACCAGCTCGCGGTAGGCCGCGATGAGGTGCGTGCAGTCCACGTGCCAGCCCAGGCGCTGCTGTACGTACGGGGTCATGACTCTTGCGTCCAGCAGGCTGAGGCCGGGCAGCAGGTAGTAGTAGTAGGCCACCGTGCTGCCGAAGCCGTAGTAGCTGATGGACGCGTAGTCCAAGTAGAAGAAGGCGGCGCGCAGGCGCAGCGAGAGGCAGCTGAACACGTGCGCCGTGCAGCTCATGGCGAAGGTCAGCAGCACCCCGGACGCGTAGCACCACAGCGGCAGCAGCCAGGGGTGGTGGAAGGGCACGTCGCGGCCGCTCAGGAAGAACAGGCGGCAGAACTTGCTCAGGAACAGTAGCAGCGGGATGAAGTGCGTCCAGAAGTTGAGCGTCTCGTTGGTCGGCTTCAGCACCGAGGCCAGGCACTCCTGCGCCGTGCACGGCAGGCGCCGGTAGCCCGACAGGATGAAGCACTCCACGAAGTCGTCGGGCACCTCGTCCCAGCGCAGCAGCAGCTTGGCGGACGCCGGGGGGGCCTCGGGGCCGGCCGGGTGGGGGTGCCGGGCG